CGGGACGTGAACCGCGGTCGACTACGTGGGAGTCCAGCGACATAGCCATTACGCTAACTGCTGGTTCCCATGAGTGGCTATACCTTAAAGAGAGAAAGAAAAAGAAAGAAATGGAAATTAATTAATTTGAGGTTACACCTGCGAAAAATTAATTAAAAAGAATATTTTGCATAAGGATTAATGTGATAATGCTTTTCTTATCTATTAGCAAATTAATCAAACAAAACTGTAGTTATAAAAATGATGTGGTAAAGGTATAAGAATAAAATATTATTTGAATTAAACAATATAATCCAGAAATAGCCCCCTTCATTTTTAAATTTTATTTATTTCTCCAATGAAAGAGAGGGAGAGCCTAGAGAATGAGGCAAGGACAGGCATCCCTAACAGAGCCCCAGGCTTTGATCCACCCACAGTCTCAGACAGCCTGGATCATAGATATGTGCTTGTGTAGTGAACTCAGTAAGGTCTAGGACCCAAAAACATTGTTCTTCCCTCTTGGGTCCAGTTGTGTTACCATATGTCCCTAAGTCTTTTTATTGGGTTGTTGGAAAAGTCATATATATATATATACATACACACACACACACACACACACACACACACACTCACTCACTCATATACATACACACACACACACATATATATGAAAAAAAATTTTTTGAAGACATTTTTGCTTTAGGGTGTATGTGCTCACTAGAGAGACAGAAAGTGAGAAATCACTCCCCTGGGGGATGGCCAGTCCACAATCCCTTCTTATATTATGTCACTTGCACAAAAGTCAGAAAACTTAGCTGTTTGACCACTTATTTATTTCAAGCATTATTTATTTGACAAAAGAACATTCTATCACAAAGAGGAACATTTTGCTATTTTAACTCAGTGGACTGAAAATTTGAGGGAGTTAGAATACAGGTTATACTTAACAGTTATATTATTTTCCTGCTAGTTTAGTAGTTACTTTTTTTCACTTTGGTTCGTGGTGACTTTTGATACTTTGTGGGGGTAGTTTTTTGTTTTGTTTTGTTTTGTTTAGGAGCAGTTTTTGATATAAGGTGCGTGGACTCATCAGAAAGTGGGTGAGAAATCACACCCCCGCTAAGGGGGGTTGGGCATGCCACAATCCCTTCTCCATTCTCCTCTCAGGATCTTGGGCATACATGCACCCGTATCTGGCGTGAGATTAAGCCAGCTGGGCCTGGGACTTGAACCGCCGTCAACTACATTGGAGTCCAGCGACATAGCCATTACACTAACTGCTGGTCCCTTTTACTTCTTTAAACATACTGACCATATTCGAGAACTTATAGAGTGTTTGTAGTTCTGTTTCTGAAGTCTGGTTTTTTCTATTCATGCCTTGTTTTCTTATGATTTTTTCTTTTTACTATGAGAGGCTCAGTGTGCTTGGTAATTTACTCTGGAATGAAGCTAGGTTTCTCCAGAAATGATTTACATTGACTTTTGCCACACTCCTGGAGGCCTGTCATTGTAAGTCTAACTTTTTGTTTCATTTTATTTGAGAGAGAGTTTTTTTGCTATAGGGCATGTGGGCTTGCTGAAGAAACAGAAAAAAGTGAGAAATCACTCCCCAGGAGGATGACCATGCCACAATCCCTTTTCCTCCATTCTCCTCTCTGGATTTCGTGCACACATGCACATGCACCTGGCATGAGTTTCAAGTCACTGAGTCTGGGACTCAAACCACAGTCAGCCATGTGTGAGTCCAGCATTACACCGCATGGTGGCTCCAAGTCTAACATTAAATTGAATATATATATATATACATACACACACACACACACACACACACACACACTCACTCACTCATATACATACACACACACACACATATATATGAAAAAAAATTTTTTGAAGACATTTTTGCTTTAGGGTGTATGTGCTCACTAGAGAGACAGAAAGTGAGAAATCACTCCCCTGGGGGATGGCCAGTCCACAATCCCTTCTTATATTATGTCACTTGCACAAAAGTCAGAAAACTTAGCTGTTTGACCACTTATTTATTTCAAGCATTATTTATTTGACAAAAGAACATTCTATCACAAAGAGGAACATTTTGCTATTTTAACTCAGTGGACTGAAAATTTGAGGGAGTTAGAATACAGGTTATACTTAACAGTTATATTATTTTCCTGCTAGTTTAGTAGTTACTTTTTTTCACTTTGGTTCGTGGTGACTTTTGATACTTTGTGGGGGTAGTTTTTTGTTTTGTTTTGTTTTGTTTAGGAGCAGTTTTTGATATAAGGTGCGTGGACTCATCAGAAAGTGGGTGAGAAATCACACCCCCGCTAAGGGGGGTTGGGCATGCCACAATCCCTTCTCCATTCTCCTCTCAGGATCTTGGGCATACATGCACCCGTATCTGGCGTGAGATTAAGCCAGCTGGGCCTGGGACTTGAACCGCCGTCAACTACATGGGAGTCCAGCGACATAGCCATTATGCCAACTGCTGGTCCCTTCATTAGCTTCTTTTTAATATGTGGGAATTACTGGGTATCACATTTTTTTCTTGAACTCAAATACGTATCTGACAGAATGGATTTCGATGGCCTACAAATCTGAGATTGTGTTCCACTTTTGGTAGTAGGAGTAGGTTAAACAATCTCAGCCTCCATTTTCTCAAATATAACCCGGAGACTATGAAGGCTTCAATGTGGGGGTGTATTGAGGAGTAAATCACAGAGTGGATGACCCTTGATAGTATTTCAGTAGACGTTCTTTTCTTCTGTAACTTTTTGGGAATACTTAATATTCTCTTCTAGTTCTTTATTTTAAAGCTTCTTTCAAGTTGTTAATTGTTTTAACAATTTGAGTGTTGGTAATCATCTCTTTCTGAACCTATGTATTTGTTTTAGTTTGTGTTTCCAGTTATATCAATTATGGAAAAGTGAAATGTTTGTGCAGAATTTATTTCTATTATGCTGATGTAGACAGGGCCTCAGGATTAAATAAGAGTTCATGGAAATTCTGTGTCTTGACGTTAATAAAGGACATAAGTTGAAAAAGTTTTTAATAGTTACAAGATAGACAGGTAAAGGACTGGGGAAATACTGCTGTCAGAAAATTTTGCTGGCCTCTAGTAGTGATGTATGTCCATTTTGTTGTTTATAAAATAAGATTCCATCCCTAAGTTATATGTAAAATTTACACTGTTAACTGTGCTTGCTTTTGTTTTCGAATATAGTATACTCTCAGTACAAAATGGGTAAAAGGCATAAACCATTAACAAAAAACAAAACTACCAAAAGGCATAAAGAGATGCTCAGTCTTACTAGTAAACAAAAAGATGCCCATTATTGGTATTTTTTAAAAAAGAGTTAACTAGAGTTTTTCTTTTTTTTTTAGGAAGTGAAAGCTTTGTTCAAAAACGAAAACTGTCCCAAAGTGATAAGCTGTGAGTTTGCACACAACAGCAATTGGTATATTACTTTCCAGTCAGACACAGATGCACAGCAGGTGAGAGAAAAACTTCTGGTACAAGTCCTAGTGGTGAAAGTAATAGTGCGTAATTTTAATTGGGAAAAATGTGCTTAACTAGTGTGTATAAAGACCAGTGAACATTGTGATCACATTTTTAGTTTTCCTAAATTAGTTTTGTTTTTGATTTTTCTAAAGCTTTTTCATTTTCAATTTCAAAACCATTGTCTTATCAGTTTTTAAAAAATTAACCACAATGTAAAAATAAATATGGGGTACCAGCAGGTGACATCATGGCTAAGTCATTGGATAACATATGGCCAACTCTGCAGTCCCAGACCAGCGACCTGAAAATCATGCCAGGCGTGTGGTGCATGCCCAAAATCCCGAGAAGAGAATGAAGATGAAGGGATTTTGCTGCGGCCATCCTCCCAGGGAGCGTCTCTCTCTCTCTCTCTCTCTAGTGAGCACACATACCTTATCACAAAAAGAAAAACACAAAAATATAAAGACAACACAGGTATCAGAGAAATAGTAAATAGTTGTTATTACTATTAGGTCATTGGAAAAGTTATGACGCATTTTTGCATAGAAAAACATGTAACTCTTCCGACAATCCAATAGTACATTTGTAGGCCAGAAGCAAAAAATCTTGGAATTTTGACTTAGTGGTTTCACTCTTTAAAAAAAAAAAAAAGAATTATTTATTTAATTTTATTTATTATTCTTCATCTTCAACTTGACCAGAGGGAGAATGAGAAAGCAAGCCATCAGGTCTGGGTCTTATATCATGGTTGGCCACATGGAAGTTCACTTTAACCACCACACCACCTGCTAGCCCTAGTGGTTCCCCTCTTATTATTTAAAGATAAGATAAATGTTCCTTTGAAACAAAAATTTATCTGTAATAAAGGTATTTTAAAATGACACTGATTTTTATTCTTTTGTGTGTTTTTGTTTTGTTTAGTTTTTAGAGATTTTTTTACTGTAAGGTGTATTGAGTTTTCCACAGACACAGAGAGAAAGAGATAAATCACCTCCATTGGGGATGACCACATCAAAATCCCTTCTCCTTTGTTATTCGCTCCAGGTTTTACACATACAAACATGCCCAGTGTGAGTTTCAAGCTGTTGGGTCTGGGACCTGAACCATAGTTGACTGTGTGGGAGTCCAGTGCTTTAACCACTGCGCCACCTGCTCCCTTCAGTTTTTATTCTTCTTTAAAATTCTTCATCTTGGGGCTGGCAAGTGGCATGGTGGTTAAGGTGGTAGACTCCCACATGGCCAACTAGTTCAAGTCCCAGACCTGGCAGCTTGCTTTCTCACTTTTCCTTTCTCTCTATGTCTCTCTCTGTTCAAGCTAAAAATAATAGTAATAGTAAATAAAGTAAAATCTTTAAAAAAATTCTTCACATTAGAAGTTTGTCTGATAGAATATTTTAAATAGTTACGTAGAGATTTTTTAAATAATTATTTTTTTTAACTTTATTCATTCATTTATGTATTTATTTTAATTTGACCAGAGAGGGACAGAATGAGAGCGAGAGAGAGAGAGAGAGAAAGTGAGAAAGTAAGCCACTGGGTCTAGCACTTGAACCACGGTCGGCCATGTGAGAGTTGAGTGCCAGCCCCTGCCAGCTCCTATAAGTGATTTTTTTTTTAAGATTTTTTAAACATTTTTATTTGTTGTTGTTATTTTTTCATTTGAGGAGAGAATGGGGGAGAAAGAGAAAGTGAGAGAGCAAGCCACCAGATTCGAGACTCAAACTATGGTTGGCCATGTGGGAGTCCAGCACTTTTACTACCATGCCCCCTGCTGGCCCCAAGATTTTATTTTTTTAAGCTTGAAATCTTTTTTTTTTACTTTATGTATTTATTTATTTTAATTTAACCAGAGAGAAACAGAGAGAGAGAGAGAAAGAGAGAGAGAGAGAGAGCGAGCGCAAGCAAGCCTCCAGGTCTGGGACTCGAACTGTGATTGGCCATGTGGGAGTTCAGCCCCCTTAACCACCACGCCACCTGCCGGCCCCAGTATGTAGTGGTATTTTGAGTCTTGTTTCTTCTGCATCTTGCGTTACTGAACTTTGTCTGCAATAATCCGTAGTAACTTATTCCGTAAATGTGAACTGTAGCTAAGAAGGTTCTAAATTTCTGCTTTTTCATTCTCTTAATTGCCTGCACAATGGACTTAACCTTCAGAACTTTTTGTTTAGTTTAGACACTTTTGCTAATGCCAAACTCTCTGATAGAATAAAGATAACTTGAATGAAATGTTTTGAAAACTAATGAGGTTTCTTTCTGCTTTGTTAACAGGCATTTAAATACTTAAGAGAAGAAGTTAAAACATTTCAGGGCAAGCCAATAATGGTAAGAAACATTTGTAAATAGAGGACAGTATGAACTGAGAAAGTTTTCCATTGTTTGAGAATTTAAGAAACACAGAAAAAGACTATTTTTAAAATCCATATTGATTTTATTGAAATTTCTGGCTTATATTCTGTTTTACTTCAGAGAATTAGTTGAGAGGGCAATTAAATTATTTTTTTAAAAAATAATTATTTTAACTTTTTTATTTATTATTATTATTTTCCAGTTTTATCAGAGAGAGACAGAGACAGAAAGTGAGAAAGGAAGCCACCAGGTCAGGGACTCAAAACTGCAGTTGGCATGTGGGATTCAGCACCTTTAACTACCACACCACCTGCTGGCTCCCATTGTGGGAGCCTAACTTTAATATTGTGTCTTAGGGAAATAGCGAAGTACATGAAGAAGGAAAGAGGTGGAGAGACAACTCGTCATTGGAACTATCAGGATACATACAACATTTATTGATTACGTTTGCCACCATTATAAGGGTGGCCCAAAACAATTACCATAATGATATCAAAGATCATTGATCACAGAGTACCGTAACAGATATAATAATGGAGAAGCTTTAAATATTGAAAGAATTACCAAAATATAACACAGAGACATAAAGTGAAGAAACGCTGTTGGAAAAATTGTGTCAATAGACTTACTTGATGTATAATTGCCATATGCCTTCAATTTATAAAAACACAATGCCTCTGTAATACACTGAAACAAAGTATGATTAAAAAAAAAAAACTGGGACTGGGACCAGCAGTTAGTGTAATGGCTATGTCACTGACTTCCCATGTAGTTGACCTTGGTTCGAGTCCTGGACCCGATGGCTTAAACTCATGCAGGGCACATGTGCGTGCGTGCCCAAGATCCTGAGAGGAGAATGGAGGAGAAGGGATTGTGGCGTGGCCATCCCCTCTGGGGGTGATTTCTCACTTTCTATCTCTCTGTCTCTCTCTGTCTTTCTGGCAAGCACACGCACCC